GAGACACCCTTCTGGATAGAGTCACAATCGGATACCACATTTTTTTGACAAAATCATATATCACACCCTCAGTGAGGTGCTACAGATGCCAAAGGTTTGGACATGTGGCAAATATATGTAAAGGGAAAAGTAGATGCAGTAAATGTGGAGGGGAACATTCCTCTGGTAATTCTGTGGAAGGAACGTAATTAAAGCATAGCAACTCGGGAAAGCACATTGCAGCATACGGAGGTTGTATAGCAGCAAAGCAAACAAGCGAGATACAAAAAACAAAAGTTACAAATAACACATCATATGTGGAAGCTACTAGGAGGCATCTAAGACCAAAAAGGGAATGAAGAAAGGAAATGCAGAAAGGAGAAGGAGAAGCACACAACAGAATGAATCAAAGGATATAACGAGGGAAAATGAGGGATACAGGGAAAATAGGAGAAGACATATATACAGACAAAGAGACGTTCACAGCTTTTATGACTGAAGTAATAAACTGCCCCTCACAGACAGGAAAAAAATCAGAAAATGAAAAGAAAACTATAGTTAAAAGCAGCAGAAAAGTACCTATGAGTTAGTAACTCATCAGTGGAATGATTCCATGCTTTTTTAAGTGAAGGAAATACTGAAGTATATATAGAATGGTACTATTTACTCAGTAGCGCATGGAAAGGAACTAAAGAGAAATATCCTTGATAAGGATATTGAACCTGATATCATTTGTATACAAGAAACATGGTTAATAGGGAAACTAGATTTCAAATCTCAGGATATGGCATCTATAAGCAAGACAAAGATATAGGAAGGGGGTGCTGAGTTTGTACATTCATTAAGGAAAACCTAAATTATCTTGAAATTGAAGAAACTAAATATAGGGTATAATGCTACTGAGATTCCAATGTGAAATAAATCTTCAACTGTCAGAATATATAATGTATACAACCCCTCTGGAAAACTGGAGATTAAGGATTTGACAGCGATAGTTGAAAATGCAATAGGTCCATATATTATATGCTGACACCTAAACAGCCATGACAGATTGTGGGGAAGCGGAAAAAATGATAAGAACAGCAAATATCTAGAACAATTCACTGATGAAAATAATTTAGTAATGCTGATACACCCATCCTAATTTTAATATAGCCAATGAATATCTCTCCTGTTTAGACCTGGGAATTGTGTCAAATAGGATAGCAAATACATGCATCTGGAAAGTCGAGAAAGAGGAGGGAATGGGATGTGATCACCTCCCTATACTTATAGTATATCAAGGTAAAGGCAATATGGAGGATGGCCCACTACTTGGAATATATATATAAAAAAATTGGGAGCTATTTAAAATGAATGAGTGATGACATTGAGGAGTTTGGTAGCAAAATATCTAAGGGAATCATGATGGCAACAAAGTTAACTATGCATCAGATATCAAGTCACCCTAGCAGTAGAAACCATGAATAAGGAATATAAAACAGCAATTAAAGAAAAGAATAGGGAATAGAAAAAAGCAACAAAAAATACAATGAATAGTGAGGACTTGATGAAATATAAAGAAACAAGGTAATTGCACAAAGGGCTATTGAAAAGGAGGGGGGAAACTGGAGAAAGTACTGTGGGAAAATAAAAATACTAAAACATCGGAGGTATATAGGCAGACTAGGACAATGAACGGAACATGGAGCAAGCGTAATTCTATGCCAGGCCTCATTGTAGAAGGCCAACATTTAAAAAGCTCTAATGAAGAAAAAATGGAAGACCTACCAGAAATATTCTACAGTGTTAATAGTGGTGAAAATCAGAGTATAGAAGTTTGTGTGAGGAAAAAAAAACTTAAAGAGAAGTATGAGGACTAGAAGAGGTGAGAGGAAGATGAGGGTATGATATTAAATGAAAACTTCTATATGAAGGAACTTCCAAATGCTATAGCTAAAAGCAAAAATTCTGCATCAGGCAAGGATGGCATATGTGATGAAATGCTAAAACACCTGGATGAACAATGTCTGAAAATACTGCTAAAACTGTACAACAGTATATGGGAAAGATGTGAGTAGAAACACCCAGCTGTCACCCCACATAAGCTGAGAACAAGACCTGATACAAGGACCTGGGGAATAGAACCCAGTTTTATAGAGTCTAAGGCAGCGATAGCCCCACACTGCCACCAGAAAGTCCTGTAGCATGTAAACTGGGAGCAGTGTGGAGAGTATGCACCACAGGAAGTACTGCACACGAGACCCAAAGTGACAGTACCCTGCAACCTTCTGATTGGCCAAGTGCCACGTACTTAACCCCAGGAGATCGCCTAGGAAGTTGTTTGGGTAGCTACACGGTTTTTGGCTTGCTGCAATGCCAAGCTTTGCCTTGTTTCCTGATCTCTGACTCCAACCTGACACTGACCCTGATTCCTGCTTCTTGAGTTGAACCTGGTACTACCTCTGGTCTTTCACCCCAGCCTGACTCTTGTTTATAGGACCTGACCTTGCAATTCCTCCAACTCCTGCCTGATGACTCCTGTCCCTGGTGAACAGACTTTAGCCCAGCTGTGACTGCTAGGCAAGACTGCCTATGCCCCAGTCCCTTATGCATGGTATGTACAGGCCAATATTCCTTACATCATGTTTGGGTAAAGTCATGGAAAATCTGGGGATTGAAAAAATAACATGTCTAGATTGAAATGGACTTAGAATACACTTTGCACATTGTCTCTGGAGGGGAAGAAGTACAGCTGGTCATATAGTAAGAGTAGTGATAGCATAAAACATGAGAAAAAAGAAATCAGTGGTAGTAACTTTCCTAGATACTGAAAGAAGTATGCAATACGTTATGGAGAGAGGGTTTATTGCATGGAATAGCATCCATGGGCATAAAAGGCAGAAAAGATGGATAAAGGATTTCTTAAGTAAAAGAACTTTGCAGGTCAGAGTAGGGAAAGCCTACACTGCCATATATCCAATCACAAATGACACTCCATAGTGCTGTCAACCCCACCCACCTTATTCAATGTAATGATAATGTCCCAAAAAGTTGAGTGAAGGAATAGGCATTTCCTTGTTTGCAGATGGCTATGCTATATGGGCTGAGAACAGGAAATAGCTGAGAACCAAATTCATGAAGCACTTAGGGAACGTGTGGAATGGGGAAATGTGGGGCTTTATATTTTCAATTGTCAAAACTAAATAAATGATATTCACTAAAAGGAAAATTAAAAGAGATTGTAAACTGTCTCTTTATGGACAGCAAATAGGTATGGTTAAAAGCTACTAATTCCTCGCTGTGATGTTTGATAGCAAGCTAACATGGAAGGATCACATTGAAAATATTGTAGATAAATGTAAAAGTAAAATGGATCTACTTAAAAGTATTTCTGGAACCACCCATTATGCCCTGCATGTGGTGTCTTCATCATAATCCCTTTGTGTGTAACGTAGGTAGCTCTTGGTGAAATGCCTGCGGCATTAAGAATGAAATTAGTGGACTTAACCTTTTGGGCAAAAGTCATAAGAAACCGGGAAGATGGAAACGCTAAACAAATATATGAAGAATGCTGGGAATTTAGTGGTCAGCATGGTTGGAAAAAAACAAAAATGCCTCATGTTAATAGGATTAAAATAGGGACAAAGGAATTAGCGTATTCTGCCATGGAAAATGCATGATAGGTAGAAAATCACCCCTTAATATAAATGTGGAACTAAACAATGAAATTAAAAGGGGAAAAGGAAAGCTAAATTTATTAAACAGAGCAAATGGTTTTACATGTGATAAATGGGGTAAGAATTGTCAAATATTTACAGATGGGTCTAGAGATGAGTGGGGACAACATTCTGCATCCCAATACTTGGAATAAAGAAATCAATTAGACTATCCATTTTTGTAGTCATTCTGATGGCTGAGCTAGCCAGGATGATGCTGGCATTGTAGTGGATACTGGATGTGCGACCTACCTCAGTTGTTATCTTGTCAGATTCATTATCAGGACTACTGGCAATAACTTTGGAATTCAGATAGCAGAAATTGTATAGTGAATGAAAGATTGTTACTAACAACAGAATTGGCACCGATGGAAGGAAACTTTAAAATAGCATGTTGGGATAGCAGGAAATAAGGTGGGCAGACAAAATAGCAAAAAATGGTGTACAAAGTGGAAAAACTATAGAGATTCTCCTAAGTAAGCCGGAGTTTAAAAACCTAATTAAAATGAACTAAGAGAGGAATGGCAGGAAGTATGTACAAAAGAAACAAAGGGGAAAAGACTTCATGATGTATCCCCTAGAATAAAAAAAAATGCTGACATACTACAAGAACCTGAGAGAAAGAGTGAGGTACTGGACAGTAATGGCTTATATAGTAACTTGTCCTTAATTAATAAGCACAAAGATGGGCTGGGTGAGACATGCAAGGTCAAAGAAACGGTTGATCACATCCTCTGGGAATGTAAAGAGTGCAACACTGAGAGGGGAATTTTGTATGACAAACTCAGTCACCTAAAAATGACAATAAAAAGAAGAACAGGAGGACTTGTGGCACCTTAGAGACTAACAAATTTATTAGAGCATAAGCTTTCGTGGACTACAGCCCACTTCTTTGTTAGTCTCTAAGGTGCCACAAGTCCTCCTGTTCTTCTTTTTGCGGATACAGACTAACACGGCTGCTACTCTGAAACCTTTTAAAAATGACAATGTTTACACAAAAGTACCTGCTAAGAGTATCAGAAAAGTGAGACACCATTAAGGAAGCAATAATACTGTGACATTCTATACCTTGGGGGAGCGTCCTGGAACCCCCATATTCCTCATTTTTATATATGATTATGAGGTATCAGGGGATACCTTGTGAGGTATCAGGGGAAAGGTTATGATCTGATGAAAGTCATTTCTCTGTCCATATATGTATATCGTTAATGCATATGAAGTTATGAGAATTGTGTTGTATGGTTGTCACTAAAACATGCTGTAAATTGGGAATCAGCCAGATATTCACTCCCCAGAGGCAACAGCAAGGAAAGTAAACAATGCCTGGGTGGAGTGTGAAACAACCCATCAACAGCCATTGTCCAGCGAGGAAGCTACAATTCAATGACTCACCTACATGAGGCCACACCAGGGGAATTGCTCAACCTTGCCTGGAGACTCAGCAATGCCCACCCAGACATGCCTGGACTTGTGTTTTCCAAGACACAGACTGCGGGTATAAAGCAGACACAGTGGCTGCATGCAGGACCTCTCTGCTTCACCCACCTACACTACAAGCAACAAGGACATTCTGAAGACTCCAGCTGAGGGGACTGGTCCAGATTTCAAGGGTGAAATCTGTATACTATGGACTGCAATATCCAGTGCGGTGAGGAGTGCTTAATCTAGATGTTGCCCCGTCTAGTAGGGTTGAGAGTTTAGTCTGGGTGCTTATATTTTCTTTTCTTTTGGTAACTAACTCTGACTTTTTTTGCCTATCACTTAAAATCTATATTTTGTAGTCAATAAACTTCTTTTACTGTTTATATTTACCAGTGAGTTTGTATGAAGTGTGTGGCAAATCTGCTCAGGGTTTTGCAAAGGCTGGTGTATATCCACTTTCCATTGATGAAGTGGTGAAACAATTAATAAATCTACATTGCTTGTCTTGAACAGTGCAAGACTGTATATTCCTGAGGTACAGTGCTGGGAGCTGGGGGGATTTGGCTCTGGTGCCTTTCTCTGTGTGATTCATGAGTGGCTCTGGGAGCATTAATGCAATCTAGCTGGGTGTGTGGGGCTCCACATGCTGTTGTGCTGAGTGATCACCGCACCTGGAGGGGTTTGCTGCTGTTCACTAGCAAGGCACTGTGAGAGAGTGGAGAGAGTTCAGGGAGCACAGTAGTCCCAAAGTCCCAGGCTGGACCCCGGGGGATCCTGCCACAAATACATTAAAAAAAATACTGGGAAAAGAGCATGACTGTATCTATATATCATGAATTCCAGCATCTAGCTGTTATAAAGTAAATAGTAGTGTTCCCCAGGGTCTGTACTGGGACGCACTATTCAACATATTCAACATAAGTGATCTGGAAAAAGGGGTAAACAGCGAGGTGGCAAAATTTGCAGATACAAAACTACTCAAGATAGTTAACTCTTCTCAGTCTGATTTGGACTTACAAAGGGATCTCACAAAACTGGTTGACTGGCCAAAAAAAAGTGGCAGATGAAATTCAATGTTGATAAATGTAATGTAATGGAAAACATTGGAAAACATAATCCCAACTATACATATAATATGTTGGTCTAAATTAGCTGTTACCACTCAAGAAAGAGATCTTGGAGTCATTGTGGATAGTTCTCTGAAAACATTCACTCAATGTGCAGCGGCAGTCAAAAATGCTAACTGAATGTTGGGAATCATTAAGAAAGGGATAGATAATAAGACAGAAAATATCATATTGCCTCTATAAATCCATGGTACGCCCACATCTTGAATACCGTGTGCAGATGTGGTCGCCCCATCTCAAAAAAGATATATTGGAATTGGAAAATGTTCAGAAAAGGGCAACAAAAATTATTAGGGGTATGAAATGGCTGCCATATGAGAATATTAATAAGGGACTTTTCAGCTTGGAAAAGAGATGACTAAGGGGGTATATAATAGAGTTCTATAAAATCATGACTGGTGTGGAGAAAGTAAGTAAAGAAGTGTTATTTACTCCTTCTCATAACATGAGAACTAGGGGTCACCAAATGAAATTAATACGCAGCAGGTTTAAAACAAACAAAAGGAAGTATTTCTTCACACAACTCAAGTCAAGCTGTGGAACTCCTTGCCTGAGGAGGTTGCGAAGGCTAAGACTATAACAGGGTTCAAAAAAGAACTAGATACATTCATGGAGGATAGGTCCATCAATAGCTATTGGTAGGGATGGTGTCCCTAGCCCAGGAGCGCCGCCAGCTTTTCCACCGCCCTAGGCGGCGGAAGGTTCCGCCCCGAAATGCCGCCCCCCCACAGAGGCGGCAGAAGATCCCACCATGGAAATACCACCGCGGTCTCTGCCCCCCAAATCACAGCGCCCTAGGCGACCGCCTAGGTCGCCTAATGGGTTGCGCCGACCCTGCCCTAGCCTCTGTTTGCCAGAAGCTGGGAATGAGCAACAGGGAATGGATCACTTGATTACCTGCTCTGTTCATTCCCTCTGTGGCACCTGGCATTGGCCACTGTTGGAAGACAGAATACTGGGCTAGATGGACCTTTGGTCTGATCCAGTATGGCCGTTCTTATAGACTCAGATTGTGATTCTGCTACACCATAAAGAAGGAGAAAATTGCAGGGGAAGGAGGCTGTAGTCACTCCCTGGGATGAGGGAGACCTTCAGGGACAAGGAGGAAGTCCTGGTGGAGAGTAAGCCCTGAGATCCTGCCCTGGAGTAAGTCTAGCAAGAAACTATCGGGGTGATGTAACCATGGGGCGTAGACTAGGCTCATGTGGTAAACTCAGAAATATGCAAAGGAAAAGAAAGAGAAGCTGGGTAGGAAGGAGCCCTAAGAAACAGCAACAGAGACAGGGACACAGCAGACTTTTATGGCTGGTTATAGAATCCATGGGCCAGAACTCAGTATAGCGGGTGGGCCTGGATTCCCCTGGTACAGTGGCACAGAGCCCAAATTGGGGCTGAACCCTATCTGGAGAAGGCATTTGGACAGTAGTCCTGTTGTACTTCATACCCCCAGAAGGGGTGGACTGAATAGGGACCTGGTGGAGGGCCAAGTTACCAGAAGAGAGACTATCCCAGAGTGATCAGAAAGCATAAGGGAGCACCCAGTGCTGTGAGAGCTACTTACCCGCTCGTATCTAGATCTGGGAACACTAGGGGGAACCCCATTACAGTGTCCCATCGATCATACTTGCACAGTTTGGGAAGCTAATGCATGCAAGCCCTGAAGTTATTTAATTAATATTTCTAATTCTGGCCAGCCTGGCGGACAGCACAGCATGAATTGCCTGCAAATCTCAATGACCCATATGTAGATCCCTCCCTCCCCCCCCCCCCCCCCGCCAACCCCAAACTGATTGCCAACAGCTTTATAGCAGGCTGGGGTTACCAGCTTCCATAGGATGATAGTGGCATGCTTCTGGTATGCATTGGGTCTCTCATCTGCCTGCTCTGCTTATAAGGGCCAGGGCAAAGTCCTCACACTGCTCCAGGAATGTGTGTGTCTTCATGTGACATTCTGGACCCAATACTGCTCATCCCATGTTTCCAGTACAATGTTATTCCACTAGCATGTTACTGTGTTCCTGGTCCAGAAGGGGTAATCTAAAACCAGCATCCGTTCAGTCCACAGCTTCATGTCCACACAGTCCCATTCAGTTGCTGTGCTACTCCATCCCAACTGCCTCCATCCTCCTCCTCCTCAAAACAGCCTCTGAAGCCCTTCCCAACATCTCCTGGAGCAGCTTGTGCAGAGGCATGAAAGTAACACTGCCTCCCTAAAAAAGCAGCAGCTCTTGGTAATGAGGAAGAGCAGGAGCCAAATACCTTCAACATGTAACAGCATACCAGTGTCCCAGCTGGGACAGGAAACCAATGTCATGAGCCTAAACCGTTTCTTCCCACAGTCCCCGGAGTGAACAGACACGTTGCTGCATAACACGGCGAATGTGAGCATAGAGTGACGTAGTGCGTTGTGGCACGATGAATCTCCGAATACAAGCCCAGATGTTTGCATTGCTTCTCACAGCCACATACTGTTCCAGTACAGGTGCAAGGCATGACAGCCATATGCTAACATGGACAATTTGATTATGCAGTAATGGAATAGGCTACCATGCGTTGACAAGTATGTGATTATTACCCCATGGTTTGTATGGAGTGTAGACAAGGCCTTAGTGAACTTGATCCCTCCTGGGGCTGTACTCTGGTTGTAAAACATGAAGGAGATACACTTAATTGAAGTAATCAGAGCCAAACTGGGATTAACTCTGAGTAAATATATCCTGAGGTGGCTGCTAGCAGTAAACCTGACTGCGACTTCTTAGTGGGGAACTTGTTGCTCTTCTTGCACGCTCTTCTTTTCACTTTGTTCAGGGACCAATAAGTTGAAAATAGGGAACGCATAACAACCTAAGAAAAAAAGTAAACAATGACTACATTAACGGAGTTACCAAAGGGGAGCTAGGAGTGACTAAGCAGAAATAGAACAAGGTTTTATGGCTTTGCAAACTGAAGGTTCTCTTGTTTTGTTTCAACTGTTAGCAAAATCCTATGCTGGCATAAATGGGCATAGCTCCATTGATTTCATTGGAGTATCATTCACTTATATGAGCAGAGAATTGGGTCTTGTATCTGTCACAGTTTTCATAATGGTGTACTGAACATTTTATTTAGTTACTTGAACATGCTATTAGAAAAATCAAACTAGGGAAAAAATAAAAAGCCCCCCTTAATTTTGATAAGTTATGAAACATTCAACACAATTGATTTAGTTGGGGATTAGTCCTGCTGTCAGCAGGGGGTTGGACTAGATGATTTCCTGAGGTCCCTTCCAACCCTGATATTCCGTGATTCTATGAACCAAAGATGTCTTGCATATAGGAATTGCCATACAAGATCAGACCAGTTGTTCATAAAGGGCCTGATCTAAAGTCTATTGGAAAGAATCACATTGACTTCAAATGGGCCACTCTGATTACTACAAAAATGATTTTTCCTCCTGTTGATAATAACCCACTTTAATTGAATTGTCTCATTAGAATTGGTAAGGCAACCCCCATCTTTTCGTATACTATGTATATATATCTTCCTACTGTATTTTCCACTCCATGCATCTGATGAAGTGGGTTTTAGCCCATGAAAGTTTATGCCCAAATTAATTTTAGTCTCTAAGGTGCCACAAGTCTTCCTCCTTGTTTTTGTTGATACAGACTAACACAGCTACCACTCTGAAAACTGACTTAATTGACTTCCAGGGACTTTGAATCAGGCTCCTACTCCAGTATCCAGTCTCTGACAGTGACTGGTACCAGATTCTCCAGAGGAAGCTACAAAGAAATCCGGTAGTTGACAATTAGGTAATACCCTAGCCATAGGAGGAGTTCTTTCCTGTCCCAAGGTACTTAGTATTTTGCTTCTGTTCTATTCTATATAGGTTCACATACTGTGCTAATCATTGTAGTTTCTGAGCACCTTCCTTACAGCACAGGAAGAATTGTGTGTCAAGTGCAGGGTTTTGTTTTGGAAAGTTTTCACTTTTTGTGGGTGTCATTAATATGTATGCACTGTGCTGTGCCTCTGTTAATGAAGGCAGGCCGAAGAAGCGTTCCTTGCACTTGGAGTAAACGGTGGTGACAATGAGCGCTGCATGTTAATTGTTGTATTTTTTTATAAGGTATTTCTTTTTATCATTTTTAAAAGTATTGTCTTTCAGGGTCATTATTTGGGAAAGGATAAATAGGACCACCCCATTGACTCCTCTCTATAACATCCATTACTCTACACAGCTAATGTATCGTCACTAGACTAAGCAGTCCTACTCTTTTTAGCCTCTCTTCCACAAGAGCCTCTCCGTGTCCTCAAACATGTTTATTGCCTGTACAATTTTTTTATGCATGTAATTATTCTACCTAGCAGAAGCATTCTGTATTTTTTGTTAATATTTGTAGGGGAAGTGTATTTTGCTACTTTTTAAAAAAATCCTTAATAAAATAAAAATAAAAATTACACTAATAAGTATTTAATGAGAAAGTTTGGTCCAAGTACTGTATATGCTAGCTGTTCTTAAATCACTATGGAAGAGTTTTTGGATTGCAGGTTTTCTGTTCAATTTAAGCTGGTGAGCAACCAAGTTATAATCAACATTAATAAAGCATGCAGGCTAAAACAGTAAAAATAATGTTGAAACAAAATAGCTCATGTCAACTGAAATACGGAGATTGATTCCCGGGTGGCTCGTAAGGGAAAGGATAATTGCCATAATGAAAAGAGAGATTGAGTCCAACCTTGTAGCCTTTAATTGGGCAAACCTTCCCTTGAAATCATGCCCTGCCATTTGCGTAAATATTGACCAGGATTTAATGTGGCAGCACCAGCGCCAAATTTCTTCTTTCTGGGTGGTGCTCCACCCATGCTCCACCCTGAGGCTCTGCTCCTTCCCTTAAAGCCCTACCCCTGTTCCGCCTCTTCCTGCCCTCACTCCAACCCTCCCCTGAGTGCACCTCGCCTCACTCCACCTCTTCCCACCCACGCTCTGTCCCCTTTCTCCATCCCCACCGCCGAACACCTGATAGGTGGGTGGCTTGTGGACGCTGGTGGGAGTCAGCGCCCATGGGTGTGGGATATCTTGGGAGACCTTGGTTAGTTGTTTCTAATGGCAAGGAACCTCAAAATCACAATTCCTTTAATGCTAGGTGGGAGTGCGCTCCCAGAAGTTGTCTTTATTTGGGAAAATAGTGGGGAAATTATTGAGGGGCCACATTCTGATAGCTTTACTCAGTGTGAGTGTCAATTTCCTCTACATGTAGTCCCATGCACTTGGACTATTCATGGAGTAAGGTAATATTCAATATGAGCAAGGGTAACAGAAACTTGCCCTGAGTCAATACAGAAATTAAATTCCCCATATTTACACCCACTTTAAATTTTCTTTGTATGAACATTAATGCAGGTGTCTTTTTGTTAATTTTCAGAGGGCGGCTGGCCCTGAAAACCCGATTCTCCTCAGGATTGCCTGGCACCATGCTGTCATTCCCATTCTCATCATTTCTCTGAGAAGAGCATGCACCATCCACAAATAGGCGCTCCCCCTCAGAGACATGTTTGTACAGGATATGCATCATCCACTGCTGCCTCTTGTTCACTCTCTGTGCTGCAGACCATCAAAAGCAGATACACAAATAGAACACTATTTAATGAATACAGCAAGGAGGCAGCCTTGTTGAAATATTTCCAGGCCCAATAGGAAGCTCCAATTGTGCCTGTCCCACAAGGACCATGCACGTTCATCCATGCCCAATTACCAATTTGTCTGTGGCTATGACTTTGGTGAATGGTGACAAGTGAAAGTAGTGAGCAAATGATTCAATAACATACTTGGCGGTTGAACAGAGATATTTCAGATGGGGCATGCTGCCTAACCGCAGCACAATGAGGATATATTGGGTTCCCAAAACTCGAGGCCACACTCCCGACTCTTATGCAGTTAATTGAGATGGATAAAGTTATGTGATTTCATCCTTTGCAACTAGGGTGACACAAAAAAACCATACCCAGAGACAACTGAATAAGCCAGGCAAAGGCCTGGTTCCAACCTTTGCAGCAGGAATGTCCATGCACAGGTTTACAGTGTCTGAGTATGAGAACATTCATTGTGAATCTCATCCCATCCTATGACATTGCCATTTTTTCAGTGTTGTAGCAGTGGAGTCTCCGTCAAAGCCACACAAGTCATCCAGAGAGGAAAAAGTTTTTAAAATGTCCTAAATATTCCCAGATCCTACCAGCCTAGCAATTACGAACTCCCTAAACTGGTTCCATGCTCAACCTGGGTGAATGAAGAGTTCAGCGACTTACTTATAGTTAGTTACAATCATCCAGTCAAGAATGGGAATAATGTGACTCATCACAACAAGGTAACAATTAGAGCTGCTTGAACATTTCAGAATTCTGAAATTTCAATAAAATTTCAATAAAAAGGATTATCTTTTTCAGAAAACCATTCATGAAAGTTTCATTCCTTCCATTGACCAGCTATAGAGCTGCTTAAAATTCTCTGAATTTTGAAATTTTGCTGAAAAATGTTGTCAAAGAAACCGATGAGGTTTTTTTTACAAAAAATGTTTTTTCAATTTTTCAGTCATCTCTAGTAATGCTGAGTAGTGCAAACAGGTAAACAACCAGATCCTGCAGGTGTTCAGGGAACAATTATGAAGGTGGAAAAAAATCACTATCAGTTTGCAAACTATTTGAAGACAAAAACAATGAGTAGTCCTTGTGGCACCTTAGAGACTAACACATTTATTTGGGCATAAGCTTTTGTGGGCTATAACCCACTTCATCAGATACATGGAGTGGAAAATACAGTAGGCAGGTATAAATATACAGCACATAAAAAGATGGGAGTTACCTTATCAAATGGGGGATCAGTGCTAAGGAGGCCAATTCAATTATGGTGGATGTCGCCTATTCCCAACAGTTGACAAGAAGGGGTGAATATCAACAAAGGGAAAATTACTTTTTGTAGTGCTAACAACGCCAATTCAGTCATGGTGGATGTGGCCCATTCCCAAGAGTTGACAAGAAGGTGTGAGTAGACACATGAACTATGTAATTATGCCAGACATCTGGTCTAATTACATAACAAGGCAACTAGTATGTTTTGCTTGGATGTATCATGTTTTTTTTTTAAAGAACAATTGAGATAAGTATGACTTTAACAGCTGTAGTATTTTTAAATAGCACTATCGTGGGTAAATATTACTTACAACAAATCTGCCTAAAACAATAGACTTATTAAAAACAAACCTTTTGTGTGCATTAAACCAGGCATCCGATATATAGCACAGCAAAGTCCTTTTATGCCTGATAAAGGGATAAACAGGTTTTTAAATAACTAGAACTGCATTGAACTTTGACAAACAAGCCCCTTAAAGCTTGTAAGTTTTATTGCCATTTTCCAGGTAGGCTCATAAGGAAGAGCTAGGCCTTAAAATGACGGAAATTGTCCCAGCCCACTGGAGGGTAATTCAGAAAGGTTTAAGTACAGGAGCCAATGCAGCAGCTGTGCTGTAGGATACCATTCAGGACTGAACCGCTGAGTCTTGATTTTGTTTGAAATGTGAAGAGTTAATTTTTTTAACTGTGCAATGTGAGAGAAGTGCCGGTTAGAACTAACAGAGAGAAGTGCTTGTCAGGACTGATGCCTGAGAAAAAGAGGACGGGAGAAGTGAACATCAAAAAGAAGTACTTTAAAAAAACCTGGGAAGGGAGCGGCATTAGGCTACTAAATCTGGATATTTGCGCTGGCTTGGGGCTAGATTGTAGTTCTCTGTTAAACCATATTAGGGTGACCAGGGGTCCCGATTTTATAGGGACAGTCCTGATTTTGAGGCCTTTTTTTTATATAGGTGCCTATTACTCCCTACACCCGTCCTGATTTTTTACACTTTCTAGCTGGTCACCCTAAACTATATGTAAGGAGTAGTGCCACCCCAGAGCAGCATAGGAAGGAAATCTTCTCCTTGCTTCCCATTCCTCTGGGAGGGGAGGAGATGGTAATTTTCTGATAGGCTATACCAGCAGCTTGTTCAACTCAGCTGGCCAGTGTTTTGAAGGACTGAGTTTAGGCTCCACCCAGTCCCCACCCCTTTCATCTGGGGGGATGTGGGGGGATGTACAGCATCCACGTACTCCTGCACACCCAGTGCCAAAGTCCAGGAGACCCACATAGGGGCATAAGTGGGTGGAGGGCCTTTATACCCCTGTGTTTATTTGTAGTCCAGGATGCAATCTAGTCCTCTACCATAATATCTGAGTACCTCCCAGTCTTCAATGTATTTATCCTGTGAGGTAGGGAACCACTATTATACTGTATAGATGGGGAACTGAGGCACAGATAGACTAACTGACTTGCCCAGGGTAACACAGGAAGTCTGTGGTGGAGCTGAGAATTGAATGCAGGTCTCCAACTGCAGTAAAGATTGTGGAGTGTGCAAGCACACATGCATCCTTTTCTAGGAAAGGATCTGAAAGACTAAGAGAGAAGACAAACTCCAATTCCTCAGACAGAGACAAGCACCTACAAGATCTCTATCAAGCATTCTTAAAACTACAATACCCACCTGCTAAAGTGAAAAAGCAGATTGACAGAGCCAGACGAGTACCCAGAAGTCACCTCCTACAAGACAAGCCCAACAAAGAAAATAACAGAACACCACTAGCTGTCACCTTCAGCCCCCAACTAAAACCTCTCCAGCGCATCATCAAAGATCTAAAACCTATCCTGAAAGATGATCCCTCACTCTCACAGAGCTTGGGAGACAGACCTGTCCTCGCTTACAGACAACCCCCTAACCTAAAGCAAATACTCACCAGCAACCACACATCACTGAACAAAAACACTGACCCAGGCACCTATCCTTGTAACAAAGCCCAATGCCAACTCTGTCCACATATCTATTCAAGTGACATCATCATAAGACCTAATCACATCAGCCATACCATCTGGGGCTCGTTCACCTGCACATCTACCAATGTGATATATGCCATGTACATTGGCCAAACCAGACAGTCGCTACGCAAAAGAATTAATGGACACAAATCTGACATCAG